AATCCCCCAGCACCACAGGCCAGCCAGCCCTGCCCCCTGGTGGGCTGAGCTGGCCACACACACACACACAATAAATAAATAAATAAATGTTTAAAAAAATTCCTTTTAGTCACAATAGTCAGGTGCTAATTTAGCCACACTGAACATTTTACACATAGCCCCAGTTTCAGGCTTCTTTGGTGATGAGGACTGGACACAACACCTTGCTTATGCTAGACTGAGTGCTAATTACTTATACTGAAAGTGAGGAAAAGAGGAAGAGAAAAAAATGACTAATCCAAGTTACTTGTGAATAGTCTTTGCCGATCCATCTTGACCAGGGTTATGGGAGGGGGATTTCTAAACAAATTCTAAATTCTTCCACGAAGTTTGTAAAGTCTATTACAGTGCTATGAGAAAACCATTCTAGAACTATTTTAGACATGCCACAAGACTGAGCAAGAGTAATTATACTAGTGGTATTCAGAAACAGGTTTTTCTTCAAAAATTTAATATAGCAACTAAGTATGTATGCTAATACCCTGATAATCCCCCTTACAAAACCAGCCGTCTCAAAATTAAATCTGAATTCTGCCTACAAAAAAACGGCATTTTAAGAAAAAGTGAGGGCCAGCCAGATAGCTCAGTGGACTAAAGTGCCTGCTTAAGCACAAAGCAGTGGCTGGGGTTCGATCTGGCGTGCCGTGCCAGCCGTGCCCCCGGGATGCACTGAGCCATTGAGACTGGGAGTGGTGGCGCATGCTTGTAATCCCAGCATTTGGGAGGCTGAAAACAGGAGAATCACTGAGTTCGATTTATGTAGTGAGAGACCCTGTACACCCTGTATTAAATAATACATAAAAGAAAAAACAAAGTGAGCAAATTTAAGATAATAACCTGAAAAATTAGTATTTTACAATTTAATACCAATTGATGTTTTTAACATTTAAAGGTATACACATTAATAAGTAAATCCTAAATATAATTAGGGATGTCATAAACTTTTCAGGGCATCTGAGAACACAGTCTCCCTTAGTCTGTCACTCTTATTTCAGTACATCTTACTTCAGTACTTTCACAAAGAAAACTCCTTGTACCCATTATAACATATATTCCTATGTCCTTACAAATCTGCCTTTACCAGTTTACATGAGGGCAAGATTTTGTCATCTTCCCTGCCAAAAAGAAGTATGCTAATGTAACTAGTCACCTGCTTTTAACACGTATCTGTTAATAAGTTAAAGTTGCATCCCTATTAATAAATTAAACTGGGCTGGCCAAATAGCTCAGTAGATTATAAAGCAGGTGCAGGGGCCGGAGGTTTGATCCCCAGAGCTGCAAGGCTGGCCCCACCCCCAGGGCGTGCTGAAAGGGCAATTGAGACTGGGTGTGGTGACACGCCTGTAATCCCAACTCTTGGGAGGCTGTAAACAGGCGGATCACTACGAGTCTGATCTAGTAGTGAGACCCTGAACACTCTGTAGACCCTTCCCTACAATACAAAAAATAAAAATAAAAATAAACTAAACTTTAATAAAGTTACCTAATCAAACCCCATTCCTTTTAAAGAAAAACAAACTGCCATCTAGAAAGATCATGTAGTTGTCAGTATGCACGAAGAACTCATGTGCCCATGTTATTTTTATTATGCCAACAGTGAGCTTCTGCCCCGACTTGCAGGATACACACATTTTGTGCGTCCAAATAATGTTCTAGTCCCTACTGAGCTGTTGTAACAGTTGATGTCAAAAGGTTGAGCTATGAAATAACGTTTAAGGAGACGAAAGCACTATATAGCCTGTTGTGTTCACTGCACACTGTATATATTTGCTGAATTTTCACACTGTATCCTAAGTATGTATGGTTATGTCACCTAAATTTTTTTTTAAATCAAAGAAAAATGAAAGGTTAAAAAAAACCAAAAAGATCCAAGTAAAAGGAGTCATAAACAACATTGTTCTCAGAGAAAAGGCATATTTCCTACACAGCTCGGCTTTTACTCCTTCAGCCACGCCCACACCACCAAGGGCACTGCACCTACTCCTCCTAAGGCTGACCTGCCGCTCGATCCCTAGGGCTAGAAAATCAATCTAAGAAGTAGCTGACTCCTGAAATTCCTAAGAGCTCCTATCTACCAGACAACTGCTAGCTTTACTTAAGCCGAGAGGCAGCTCTGGGGCAGAAAGAGCTTTCACAGCTGCTCACATCTCTGCTTCTCCTTGGTCTTTCCCTACACATTCTCAACACCATGCTGCATGGAGCTTCTAAGATACATTCTTCCATTTTTCCCTCTCAAAGCATTTTACTGCGCTGTTTGAAGCCATCATTCCACTCTGAACCTGCTCTAATGGTCGACATCTTTACTGGGCATTCCTGCTGTCATCTCACTTGCACTAAAACCTGGCTCTTCCTTGAAGATAGTGCTTTCCATGCAGGACACCCTAAAAAGAGGCTGCTTACTCTCTGTATCTGGGGGCAGGGAGCATGTCAGCACCCACCATCATTCAGATACATCACTCTACTCTTCCTTATTGCTCTTGTCTACAGCGACACTTACCAAGCTCTTCTTTCCTAATCATCTTATCCATCTTAAATCCTGCCACTGTCCCCAGAAATAACAACATCATGGGAAATGCTATTTGATCTCTTAGCCTCAGTTTACTTGATCTCTCCTTTAGCAAACTGCACTCAGGTCCACAGCAGGCTTTCTCTCAAAGCTTGGCTATGTTATGGTTTGAGTATAGCTGTCCCCCCAAAGCCTCATGCAGTCTTGGAGTGGCTTCTGGAGTTTGTGATTGATTATTGTGGGTGTGGATGCTGCCCCTGCCCTGAGGCAGGTGGTTTGCATTACAATGTAAGGTGGGAAGAGAAGCCAGCTGCTTGAGCTGCTGCTAGCTCCCTTGTGCTCTTGCTCTTTGCCGCCACCATGAAATGTTGCCCTCTGCTGTGTGCCGCTCTGCCTTGGAGCCAGCTGAGTATGGACTAAAACCTCCAGTAATTGTAAGCTAAATAAACCTTTCCTTCCTTCATTTTGGGTGTCAGGTATTTGTCCCAGCAATGAGAGAAGAGTAGCTAAGACAGGCTATTTATGAGTATGATCAACCTGAGCTGTATTACTCTAAAATTCTAAATTTAACATCCAGTAGAGCCACCCACCTTCATACTCACAATCCTATTTTGACCACAGCATTTTGGCAGTCACATTTTATTCCTTGTACCCTAACAAATTAAGCTGGAACTTGAGTTCATTAGTTTTCTACTCTCTGTCAACTCCCTCTTCATTTCCTTAACTTAAATGCCATGGTCCACCACTTCCAACTACTCTTCAACTGTTACTCGCAACTCTCTGGACTCTCCATCCTTCCACTAGGCCCACCTAACAAGGCAAAATTTAATACAACAATTTGCCTTATCCGAACTCAAATCCAGGCTTCCTAGCACAAAGAAAAATCACCTTCCAAGCAGTCCACCTTTCATCCTTGGCTGAGCTCTTAATGCAATGCCTTGCTTCTCTAGACAGAAAATATTTCATGTATCTATTCCACCTAAGTGTGTTCCAGTTCATTTTCAGCAAACAACCTAACAAACTCCTTTAAAGAATAACCATACCCATCAATTCCCTGTTTCTAGCCATAAAACTCTAGTAGTATCAATGCTTACACTTTCCATTTACCGCAAACCAGTTTCCTCCTTACCTATGGCTCCTCCACCTGAACTCCAGAGTATTTTTTTGTCCCCCTGGAGCTCTGCATAGCTTAGGATCAGACACTCTCTCAAAACAGACCAAAACCCTTCATCAATTCTACACTTACTCTTCCCCTCCTGCTTGCTAACTTGATCTGTGCTTTCAAACAAGAGTTGTCAACATTTAGTGTCCACTTTACTGTAGTCCCATGTAGTCTTCCATCTTAACTCTGCCCATTGATACTACTATTTCGATACTAGTATCTTCTCTTTTTCTGACAAACTTCAATCCCTGACTGGCTTCTCTAGTGTTGAATATTAACAACATATTTTACCATTAAAGCTTTTTTTTTATCTTCCTTCCCTTTAGTCTTTGTCTTTAATTTCTATTTTTAAAACAATAGTGAACAAATATACATATACAGCAAGATCTATTTCAAGGGCTTGATAAAGTGTGTTGTATTTTTTTATAACTTCTCCAATATCTCATAGCCCAATCCTAACATATTCAATACTGAATTTTTACCTTCTCCTTATACACACATTTTATTTTCTCACGTCCATCTCAGTTTCTCATACGGCCAGCCGTTTTCTCTTTATCCTTCATATTCTTCATATACTAAGTCTGTATGTTCACTTTTATTATCCAAGTGATCTGATCAGTCTCTCCTCTTTCTTGTAATATGGCAGCTATTTCTAAAATAGTCTGATAACTAGTGCTATTTCTACTAAATAAGTATACTCAATAAAACATACAGCTACAATTTCAGTAGAAAAGTCAAATTAGAATGCTAAATAATGTGTGCCAATCACTTTATACAAGCCAAGTTTGTGGGAAATGTACAGTCAAAATGTACAGTCAAAAGAAAAAATGAGCAGTAAAACTTTTCAGAAGAATAATGGTATATTACACAACATGTATTTTTCTAAATAAGGCCAAGAGTATGCTTAACTTTATACCTCTCACTGGAAAAAATGTTCTACATTAAAGTATTAAAAGCATACTTTAGAACTGTTCTAAGATAAAACATTTGAAAACATTATAGTATCTCTTATCTTCATGCTACGACAGTACACTGAAAAGATATTGAAACCCATTCTAATAAAATGTTATTCTAGTTCCATGACATATTAAAATTAGTAACAACTGTGTGGACAAATTAAGAGCAAGGGTGAGTGATGAGTCCAAGAAAAGTAGAAAAAGCACTCTAACTTGTAACATGAGGTGGAAAAGAACTGTAGTCAATGTAATGTATTAGACACTACAAACGTACGACACAAAATGTAATGGTTAGGTTAAAGGGGGATACAAAAGCATGAAACAGTACATAGGTTACCTGATGTTTTACTCAGCTCTGCTGAAAATATAGCAGATGATGATCTGTCCGCTTTTTCTGTATCAGAAGGAAGTTTTTTCTCAGTCTCTTTCATAAGAACCTTGGGTTTAATTAAGCTACCTATCTCTGTTTGAGTTGCCAAAGCAGAATCACCTGGAGGCAGTAAGGGCACCTTTGAGATGTCAGACCTATCTTTGGAGAACTCATCTGAGACAAGGATTTTATTTTCATCTTTAGGGTATATGCTCTTGAGAGAATGGTCAGGGGACATTTCTGAGCATGGCAATGACCCAGCTCTATCCTGGACATTAGCATTTTCATTTGTGTGGGATACTCCTAGGTCAGTGTATTCACTGACTAATTTAGAAGAATCAGTTTTGGAACTGACAAGTGTAGGAAATTCATCTATAATTTCAATTGGAGATGAATCTGAAAATGTTTCATTTTCTCTTACACTTGCTTCCTTAGAAATAAGCAAGTCATCATTTGAGTACAGTGCAGTATCAAACTCCTCCATCTGCAAAGGTATTTTCTCCTTTCTAGTCAATGATGAAACTTCATGAGGTGACAGAGTATTTTTTGTAGGATCTAAATTGGATTGAAATGATTCCAAATACAGCTTTCCCCCTTCAGGTGGTAATGCACTGAGTTTTCCCACATTTTCTGGCTCTAGTGATTGAGATGAAATTTCTGCAAGATTTTCTTTCATGAGTATCACAGCTTCTTCTTGTTTTTGTGGAACTTCAGGTATTGAATCATCACTAAATAAGTCGACTGGTTCAGAATCAGGTGAAGAATCCTCAGCTAGCTCAGAATGATCAGAGATTGGCTTTTCAACTTTTGCTATTTCTGAATAGTTGGAGAAATCTGGACTTGGTTCAGCAGAGAGCTTTGTTTCTTTAATTAAATCACATGCAATAGATATATAAGGAGCATCTGTTTCCTGAACAGCTACATTCATACTTTGAGGCTCTTTAAATTCTTCCTTTATTCCCGATACCTTTTTTACTGATACATTCATGGCCTCTTCATATGGTGGAGGGTTTTCAGGTTCATGTTTTATGTCCTCATAATTAACTGGAGGAGTTTCTAACGGTGATGGCTGTATCACAGAAGCACCAGCGCTGGGAGCTAGAGAACTTAATGGTGCTTCCATAACAATGTCAGGCAAAACTGGTGAAGGAGTTGCTTCAGAATCTTCGAATGAGGGGCAAAGCTGTGCTACCGGGTAGAGTGACTCCTGCATGGCTTCTGATGTTTGGACCAAATCCATTTTTGTTTCATAAGCCATTTTTGTACCTGCAGCTTCATTAAATTCACTTTCACATGCTTCTTGCACTAAATCTGGAGTTAATCCTTCAGGCATGTTTGCCACCAATTCTTCAGTCGTCTTTGATAAATTATCTGTTGTAACATAATCTGTCTCAGAATTTTGTGCTGCCACAAGGAAAGGGTTTGATGTTTTGGTACTAGTCTTCTCTGTTATAATCTGAGCCTTTTTTTCTTCAATTTTTTTCTCATCAGTTTTATTTTCTGAAGTCTGATCTTCTAACAAAGGAAAGATGTTTGTTGCAATGTTCTCGGCTGCTGTTGGGTTAAAGGAAGCACATGTGATATATGCTCTTGAACTGTCTTTTACAGCTTCTGGTGTACTTGGAAAAGAAGCATCATCGTTACTGCTTTCACTATCTCTTGTTCGCTCAAGGTCAACTGCAAAACCTTTCTTATCCACTTTACTTTCCAACTTGCTTTCTACATTATCGCTAGCAGCCAACACATCCATGTCTCCCTTACAAGTATCTCTGACTTCCCATACTTGCTCAAATGGTTTGAAGTCTGCATACTCCTCCCTCATAGGTGCTGCTACTGCAATTCCAATTTCCTTAGAACTGTCCTTTGTCTTTTCTAGCGACACACCTCTGTCCTCCTCTTCAACCAATTTAGTAAGGGCCATAGGTGATTGCTGTTGATTAGGAAGAATGGCATTATTAGCGAAATCACTCTCTTTGTCTTTATTCTTCACACTTTCTTCCCTAGGATTTTCTACTAATATGGCAGGTTCTGTTTTTGAAGAGCCACTGAATGATGATCCCATTTCTGAGTACTCTAGTTCTGAACACTCTGTTAAATCTCTATCTACAAATGGATTTTTTGCCTTCTCTGAGAACTCTTTAGAAAATTTATTTAAAGTTTCTTGAAGTGCTCCTTCCATGGGAGATACTGCTGATAAGTTACCAAGGTATTCATTTTCTTTAAAAGAAGCAGGTGAGATAGGAGACAGAGAAGGAAGAGAAGCAGCAGTTTCAAGCAGTACAGATGGGAAATCCTCTTGACCAGCCGAAACAGTGTTACCTGGCTGCTCCTTCAAGTCCATAATTTTTTCTGTGGCCATGGACAGAAAGGAAAGTTAGAGAACGCCAGTGTCTTAGAGTTAATGCAAGTTTTATGACAGATTCATAAAATACTGTTAGTAAAGACTTCATTCTTCACTAAATGAAATATTAATAGCATTTAATTAATAGATACAAATAGATTTGAGTATTTTTCCAAAAATCATAAAGTCAATAAAAGATATGCACGGCTATTACTCAGCATTTTGACTGCAGTTAATGTATTATATACTTGAAAATAGCCCAGAGAATTTTAAATATTCTCACAGCAAAGCAATAAAAAAATGTGTGCAGTGACAGATATGTTAAAGTCTGATTTGCTCCTTTAACAATACATATGCTGAAACATCATACTGCACACTATAAACATGTATAATTACTTGCCAGTTAAAAAATAGGTTAAAAAGCATGAGCATGGCTTCAGAGGCAATAACATGCTATGAAAAGCACAAACTCAATTTGGAAAACTTCCAGGTGAAAACGGCTTTTAACTAGTTTGAGAGAAAGAAAAGATTTGCAAAGAGTTTGATTAACAGTATAGAAAGGATAAGTAAATGCCAGTCTGGCATTTGTTCTTACATAAAAGCCTATGGCTAAATGCAAGTAAATTATTTGAAGAAAAGGAATGGCCAATATGTAACTATAAACCCAGGGTCTAAGAGTTCCTTACAAAGTTTCATTTACCAATCAACCTCCGTGCACTTTTCTCTTGACCACTACACACAAAATGCAAATTTCAACTTTTTCACTAGACAAATATTCTTAGAACAATGCTACTTTACAGTAAATCCAAATTACTCAGTAAGGAACTAAGACAGCTAAAGAGTTAAAAGTTAGAATACACAGAGAATAAAAGGGCAGCAGAAAGAACTTGCCTGCAGAGGAGTGTATCACAGGCTCAGATGCAGCAGGAAGAGCAAAAAGGGTCTCATCTGAAAAACAAATAGAACATAAGCTCAGCAGAAACAAAGACAGGCTGGAAAGAGACTACAGATAAGAGGAACAAGCAAGGGTTCAGTTTATAATGAGTTAACAAAAAACCTTATCTACAGAGAAAAGGCCAAGACAGAAAGGAAGCTGGAAAAAGCAATCTTAATCCAGACAAATCGCCATGGTGTATTATAAAGTTGACTAAAGGTTATCCTATAGTATCTATCATTTTTGAAGAGGCAACATAACCTATTAATGTTGAATTTTATGAATCAAAGCAGCTTTAAGATAGTGTTCTCAATTAACAGACTGTATCCAAGGCTTTTAGTCCCATTTTCATTAGTTCTCATAGTTGAGCTAAAAATTTAAAAGATAAATTTGAAAAAAATTGTTTTTGGTCAATCATTTACTGGTATGTGTTCAATTTACAGGAATACTTTCAGAGAACTAAGAACTTTCTCTTACATTTCTAGGTTGTCTATTCTTTTTACTTTTTGGTACTGGAGATAAACCAGGACCTTGAGGCAAGTACTCTATATCACTGGGCTACATTCCCATCCTGTCTCTCTATCCACATCCATCTATTTTTGAGAAAAATTTACCCCACATTGCCCAGGCAGGACTTGAACTTTGATCTCACTGCCTCAGGCATGCAGTAGCATTTCTGGCTCTGTAGAGCCATTCTTAGTTGAAAGGTTAAAAATAAAATATGTTCCCTGCCCACATTTGTATGTTGGGACCCTAACCCCAAAGTGGTATTTGAAGACAGAATTTTGAGGAGGTGACAAGGGTTAGATGAAGTGAGTCCAATGGGATTAGTGAGCTTAGAGAGACACTACATAGTTTGCTTTCTTCTCTCTCAAGCATATGAGGCCATGAGAGCAAACAGGGAAATGGAATAAATAAATCTTAAGAGACTCAAGAATAAAACCTATCGGGAATAAGCGCTTCCCCGGCAAGTACAAGGACCTGAATTCAATCCCAGGTTCCTCCAAAAAAAAAAAAAAGAATAAAACCTATCATGCCAACACCTTGATGTGAAAAACTTCTATTACTGAAGTCACTTAGTCTGACACTGTCATGGCAGTTGGAACAGATACATTACATACTGGTATATTAACTTTGTATAATGTCATTTTATACCTGTAGTTGGAAGGTCCTGAGCTAAACACCTGTGTTTTATACTAGAAATAGCCTCTGAAACAATCTTAACAGCTTGAGGAATGACAGGAAGGTATTCCTAAAGCTGAGAGGACCCAATGAACACACACTAGAAAGGCTGACCAAAACAGATTTAAAAGAGATATAGTTATCGTGAGTATGAATCTGTCTTCCAAATGTATAATACGTCCACCACCCATGAACAGGAGCCCTAACTTTGCACTGAGAAATAAACTGTGGATAAATCTATACAGGACATGTCATACCTAAAGGATTCTTAGACAAGATAGTGAAGGAAAATTGATGTGTATTTAAAGGGGTCTCATAACCTAAAAAAATAGGTAGGATGGGGCTCTCATCCAAACCAGCAAACGGGAATGCTTTAGAAGAGTTTACACATTTTTTAAAAGATGATTTGCTATATGATCTTAGTTAAGTTACACAACTTTCATTTGTAAAATGAGGACCGATTCCTTTCAATGAAAACAATGAATTGTAAGTCTAAGCTTGCAAATGCTGAAATTCGGGGGGTCAAAAGTAGTGTTTTTATTTTTTATGTATTTGTTTTTTATTATTTTTAAGGAAGGGTCTACAGAGCGTTCAGGGTCTCACTACTAGATCGGACTCGTAGTGATGTGCCTGTTTACAGCCTCCCAAGAACTCAGCGCGCCCTGGGAGCAAGTCTGGCACAGGAGGCCCAGGGATCGAACCCCTGGCCACTGCGCCTGCTTTCAGGTGCTTTAATCCACTGAGCTATTTGGCCAGGCCTTCAGGGATCAAAAAGTAAAACCTAATAATTTTGATACAACTGTGAACTGTTCTTAACAAAATAGTGCTGCTTTCATCTAGACAATATAATTGTACACCAATTCAAAGGCCAGTCTACTTGTAAAGTGGGTTAGGAACATGTGTTACTATTAAAACCAGAGAGAAAGGAACTATACCTAGAATTATGCCAAAAATGTAAAGTATTTTAAAATGCATCTTTATTCATATCTACTACTGGAATCCCCCTACAGAACAACTACATTCCTAGCACTTCACAAAGTAAAAATGTTTTCTTTCAAGTTGGTATTCCAAATATACATTGACTTTTTAATGAAAAGAACATGTTCATTGTGTAAAGTAGTATTCAATTCAAATGTAGTAAAATTTAGTACTACATTCTACAAGTTCTTAGAAAAAAAGTCCAGAAGAAGTCACTACCATTTGATCCTCAAGAATAAGGTTGGTAATCTTCAAATAAAGCAATCATAAACCATGGAACAAACTGGTTGGGCTCAAATATCAAATTATATTGTGATGTAATAGGTAACCCTGAAAAAGTTACTGCTTAAGCCTTTCTGGGCTTCATCTTTAAAGTAAGGATAGTATTAGTACCTACCTCAAAAGTTGTGAGGGACAGAGGTGGAAAGAAAACAGTAACTTGACTAAATTAGAGCAGGAAGCAAAAGAATCAGGGTTCAAACCAGTCTAACTCCCAAGTCTTTGTGCTTCACCTTCAGGCAGCTAGGTTTGTGTAAACACAATCCTATAAACTCCTCTTACTTGTTGGCCCATTGAAGTTTGCTTTCCTGACAAGCTAATCGTCACTAAGCAAACTCCTAATAATTACCTACACTTTTTCTTTAAGTGCCGTGTTCCTTGACTGGAATTTATAAGTTAAAAACAGGTAAAAATCAGAATGTTAAAAAAAAATTCTGATCAACAAGACTGCCAAATTTAAAGACTAAAATATCTATAATTTACTTCTGTTTTGAAAAGAAAAACTGATTTTAGATTAGTCTTTGTTTTTGTGTGAATATAACTTTCCAAAACAGAATGTATTTTATAATCTAGGATACTGTATTAGGTAAAAAGCATAAAGATGAATTACGAAGACATTACGTGTACATGTTCATATACAGATGTACACACACATACGCTCACTACTTAGCTTATAAAAAGGGACAAATTTTCCATTTTCTATGAACTATTCATAATGCCAAATTCCACAAAATGAAACAAACACTTAAGTCAGCCTCACTTTTCCTACTTTTAACAGATGGCCACATATATACATACAACAATAAAGAATTAGGCACACATTAACTAAGAACATTATTTTAGGGTAAAATAAGTTTTTACTAAATAACAGGTAAAGAGGTAGCAGAACTTTTCTATAAGTCTTTTCATTCTATTGCTATCAAGTATTTCTCAAGAGAAATTCATACATTCTCTTGCCCAAAACCACTTAAAACCTCCCAGCTACCCATTTTGTATTTAAAACACTTACTCAGATAAACAAGATCCTACACAATATTGCCCCCAAAGTAACTGTCTGCATTTTTTTTTTTTTTTTTTTGCAGTAACTCGTCATATCTGTAGTGGCCAAACAGGTCTTCCTTAATACCCATGCTTCTCCTTCCTTCATATTTAAACCCGAAATCCATTAAATCACAAATGAGTAACTTATTCAAAGTCATGTAGCTAGTTAATGACAAAGCTAAAAAATTTTAGCTGTCACTGTTTCCCTATTACCTACAGTAAAATGAACGTGATCACTGAACTACTTATAACACCATTAGAAAAACAGCTGCTTCCAAATGATCTTTCCCTGCTTTTGAGGCATTTCTTAAACTAAATTCAGAACTATTAAGTTTAGACTGCTTCAGTCCAACATATGTTGAATACTAATGACTTCCATCACATAGCTTATTGTTTCAAAATTCAAGTTAACTAAAGAGATTTGACTTTATAATATTTTTAAAAGTACAAGTGGAATGTCAGCTTATTACTGCAATTTACTAGTGATAACTCAAAAAGTATGTGTGATGTCACAATCTCATCAATGTCCACACACTCAAACACTATTTTCTTTGACATGGTCACTTCAAAAACATTTACCCTAGTATGCTTAAAGCCTTGGGTTCAATCCATTTTACCACCACCAAAACAAAACAAAAAATAAAAACACAGCAGAAACTACACAAAGAATGACTTCTGACTAAATGAGGCTAACTCTTATAACATAAATAACTACAAATATGGGTAAAATGCATGAAGCCACTGTGTTTGGACACTGAATAAACACTACAGGAGTGTGAGGCCTGAAAATGGAAAGCCTGAAGGCACTTTCGGCTTTGCAGCCCAAAGTGCAAGAGTCCAAGAGCTCTTGCTGAGCTAAAGGGCCTACAAGATTGTCCAGAATTTGCGAGGCAGGATAACACACAAAGGAAAGCTTCACACAAATGGAGCTCCAGAGATTTAAATAGGGGTTCCCCACAGTACAATGAACATTTTGCTGCACATGGCAGAGCATATAAGCAAACGGTACAAGACTCAGGTTTAGCTAAACTTAAATGGTTTAGCCAAAAATCCTACAGTGGATTTTTGAACTAAATGAGTATTTCAAAACATAATGCTGGAAGACTTGAACTAAAAATTTGTACCAGCCAGACTAGAGAAATTCCACCAAACATCCCAAACACACAACTGAGATCCCTGAATGGGCAACTTTTTTTTTTTTTTAGTGAATGTTTGCAATACTAAATAATTACATTTATCATGAGGAATTGGTACATAACACATCTCAGTTATTTTCATTCCCTACAGTCTTCTTCCCTCTATACTTCCAACTCTGCCCCTTTCCCATTTCCAAAAATTTGTTTACATTCTTTTTCCCTTCAACTGGTTTTCGCCCATCCCCTCTCATCTCTGTTTTTCCACCTCCCTCATCTCCTGTTCCTCCTCCCATGTGGAAATGATCTCCTTACTTCCAATTATCTTTTATTTTGCTCTTTACTTACATTTTGAGTTTCTCATATAAGAGAAACCATGTGGTATTTAAGCTTGTGTGTGT